TGGACCACGAGCGAAGTCCTGAGACAGTCTAATTTTTAACTTTGGAGATAACAGCAGAAAGGATGTCACTAAACAAAACAGCGAATTCAGGAAGAAAAGGGGGTGACAAAAGTGCCCAATAGAGGACAATTGTTTCTTTTTGATCATATCGAATATAAACTGTCTGTGGACACTTGAAGCAGAGTAGCTAGTTGGAGATGGCTTCGGGCATGTGCTTAGACATTACCTGAAAAATGCTTTTCTGTGTGTAAAAGTTCAGAGAAACAAGTCCCTCTAGGGCCAAAGGACTCTGAGAAACACCAAATTGTTATCTGAGACTCTGCAGTCCATTCTTTTGGCTATAAGTAGGCTACCTGAACTTTGCCCACAGGAATTAAAACAGAAATTGATGTCCAACAGGGACTTTGAGTTAAAAATATCAGAAGGAAGAAAAGAATAAAGTAGGCTATATCTGGCATAATTTCATAAAAATCGGTTTTGTTACTTTTCCACAATTAAACAAAAGCATAAAATTGATTGTCTTAAGAACAGCCAGAATGGTGGTCAAGGAAGTTTATGTCACTCAATAGCTTGTCTTATGGGGGTGAAGGGGACCAAAGAGAAACTTATAGCAAGGCTAACTAATATTGATGATAACTATAACTTACCTGTCTCTTAAGCACTTAAAAAGTCAATCTAAATTAATTATGACAGAACTCTAAAAAGTAGGTACTTTAATTTGTATTTTTCTGATATGCAGAGTAAATCATGAGAAATGCTGGGCTGGAAGAAGCACAAGCTGGAATCAAGATTGCCTGGAGAAATATCAATAATCTCCGATATGCAGATGACACCACCCTTATGGCAGAAAGTGAAGCAGAACTAAAGAGTCTCTTGATGAAAGTGAAAGAGAGCTTAAAATTTGGCTTAAAACTCAAAATTTGGAAAGCCAAGATCATGGCATCTGATCCCATCATTTCATAGCAAATAGATGGGGAAACACAGTGAGAGACTTTATTTTTAGGGCTCCAAAATCACTGCAGATGGTGACTGCAGCCGTGAAATTAAAAGATGCTTGGTTCTTGGATGAAAAGCTATGACCAAGCTAGACAGCAGATTAAAAAGCAGAGACATTACTTTGCTGACAAAGGCCCATCTAGTCAAAGCCATGGTTTTTCCAGTAGTCATGTATGGATGGGAGAGCTGGACTACAAAGAAAGCTGGGCGCAGAAGAATTGATGCTTATGAACTGTGGTGTTAAGGAAGACTCTTGAGAGTCCCGTGAACTGCAAGGAGATCCAACCAGTTCATCGTAAAGGAAATCAGTCCTGGGTGTTCATTGGAAGGACTGATGCTGAAGCTGAAACTCCAATACTTTGGCCACCTGATGCGAAGAACTGAGTCATTTGAAAAGACCCTGATGATGGGAAAGATTGAAGGTGGGAGGAGAACGGGACGACAGAGGATGAGATGGTTGGATGGCATCACTGACTCTATGGACATGAGTTTGAGTAAAATCCGGGAATTGGTGACGGACAGGAAAACCTGGCATGCTGCAGTCCATGGGGTTACAAAGAGTTGGACATGACTGAGCGAGTAAACTGAACAGTACCTATCTTAATGCAACTTCTGTGCTCTTAATTGGCCTACAGTATGGCTTTCATAAAGATCAAGGAAGCAGCAGCCTCCAGAGGAGATGGCCAACAGGAGTTTCCAGCCTCCCGGTGCCTGAGAAGAACCCTGAGAGTCTTTTTCACTAGAATTTTCAGAAATTCCTATTCTTCTATCTGATTAGCTCAATCCTGCACACAACCCATCAGAAGCCAGCAAACTGGAATTCCTCCAGAGTAGATGGACAAAGATGACAAGGGATCTAAACATATAATAAAATACAAGGGAATATGGTAAGAACTTACAAACCATAAGCACGATAGCACAAATACACAAAGAGTTATCATATAGAAAAGGAATGGGAATTCCGGTTTTCTATAAATCTAAGAATAATCCATGGCATAGTGCTATGTGAAAATGCTGAAAAAATATTCCATCAATAACAGCAAATGTGTAAACATTTAATACGCATGTGGAAAAGGATTGAAGGTAACTAGGACAGATGAAATACTGATGAGTTTAGGTGATGGTATCGTGGCCAATTTGTGTCTTGACTTTTTTTTAGCATTGTTCTTGAAAAAAGAAATTTTAACAAATAAAAGCAAACATATAAAAATAGAAATAAAAAAGGTATAATCAGAGAAAAATGTTCAGCCTTACTATAATCTGATAACAAATAGATTTATCTATTTATCCCAATGAAAAACATTAAAAATAGGTAATACCTAGCACTAGTAAGGTCTCCAGAAATAAGATCTCTAATATAGTTCTGACCAGAGTGTAAATTTTATACACTTTTTGAGGAAAAAACTAGCAAACTATGCAAAAAAGAATAAACAGCAGTGATGATCCTTTAATGCAGCAATTCTACATTTAAGAATATATCCTAAATAAATAAGGACTTATGTGAAGTTAGAACTAAAAAGATACAGAACCATTGTTTATAATCTGTAATTAAAAATAATCTAAATGTCTATTATTGGTGAATTTGGCTCAGTAAATAACAGAATATCATACAGACATCAAAATTATGTGGAAAAAGTACACATACATATTTATAAAATATACATATATATGCATTATGTTTAAGTTGCTCAGTCATGTCTGACTGTCTGCAATCCCATGGATTATACAGTCCATGGAATTCTCCAGGCCAGAATACTGGAGTGGGTAGCCTTTCCCTTCTCCAGGGGATCTTCCCAACCCAGGTCTCTCACACTGCAGGTGGATTCTTTACCAGCTGAGCCACAAGGGAAGCTCAATATGCATTATATATATATATTTTTTTCTGCACCACACAGCATATGGGATCTTAGCTCACCAAGCAGAGAGCAAACCTGTTCCCCCCCTGCAGTGGAAGTACAGAGTCCTAACCACTGGACCACAAGGGAATTTCCTGGAAAAAGTATATTTGATGGCAATATAGTTCACAACTTGAACAAAACAGGTAACTAAATACTCTGCATAGTATGATCCAGTTTTTGTTTAAAAATACTCTATATACATGTGCTATATGTGCATATTGTTTTTACTGTTGTTTAGTCACTAATTTGTGTCTGCCTCTTTTCGACCCCATGGACTATAGCCCACCAGGCTCCTCTGTTCATGGGATTTCCCAGGCAAGAATACTGGAGTGGGTTGCCATTTCCTTCTCCAGTGGATCTTTCTGACCCAGGGATTGAACCCACATCTCCTATATTGGTAGGTGGATTCTTTACCTCTGAGACACCAAGAAAGCCTATATGTGCATATATATGTACATCTATGTATATACATATATTTGGTGCTTGATTTCTTTTTATGTATATATAACATTTTACAATTTATTATTTGCTTTTATTAACTATTTATATGTACTTATATAACAAAACTATTAAAAATAAGTATGTGCTTTTCTCATTTATCAAATTTGGAAAGATTTTTAAAAATATTAATTAGGTAACAAAAAGTTTTCAGCACTTAGTTTGCAACGGAGCAGGATCCTATGGGGCCTTCCATGTGGCCTTTCCCTAAATCCTCTACTTTAGCTCCCCTCTGAAATACCCAGATAACAGTATTTAATGCACACTGCCTGAATTGTTTTACAGATGTGAAAACCGTTCACAGAATGGAAGATATTACTTGATAACCCTGAGAACAGAGCCCCAGGCCTTCTGTCACCTAGGGCTGCAGTTTAGCTCACTTTCAGCCAATCAGAAAATTGTAAACCAGCTGATTGCACACCTTGCAACTCCCTCCATCCTTCACCGAGCTTTAAAAAAATGTGTTGCCAAAATCCTTCAGGGATCCAGGGATGGGGCGGGGCGGGCGGTGCGGTTTACAGCAAGGAGTCATCCATCTCCTTTCCTGGTCCTACAACAAACCTTTCTCTGCTCCAAACGCCAATGTTTTGGTTTCTTTGCTCTCACTGTGCAGTTGGGCACGCGAACTTGCACTACCAAGTTGATGATCAGTAAATACTAGTCCCTCTCTCCTCGCTCGTGACAGAACCATACTCAAGAACAAATTAGAAAATGGCAGACCTGGGACATAGCCGAAGAGACTTAGGTTTGCATTAGATGACCTCTAAAGCTTCTTTCAATTGTGACATTTCATGATCAACACAATCCTCCCCTATTTACCTCTTAAACAATCAACTGGTATAATACAAAAACTGTACTGAATATTCAGGAGTTGTGTCACGATCACTAGCCCGTACTTTGCCAATGGAGTGGGGAGTGGTGTGAAAAAAAAGAGGGCACGAGGGAAAGCTGACACAAAACCCAGCACACTTCTTCATTAACAGTTCCCAGGCTTCCTTTCTTTGTGAATGAGCGGCGGTCCTTAGGCCTCAAAGCAGACACTATCTGCGAGAAACAGAACTTTAAAATGGAGTTACTTTCCTTTTCCAAGGAGCTGCCGGGTGGACCAACACAGAGGAGTGGAGTCCTTTCCAACGGCCTGAGCGTATGGCAGACGTTCAAGACCCTGGGATCCAGTCAGTAGGCGACAACTGGGGATTTCTCGTTAGGCACCGAGAGGGCCTTTCCTAGTCGGCCGAACCTGGCCTTCTCGGGGCGCCGGCTCGCGGCAGGCAGAAGCGCGACCGAGCGGAAGGGCCGAGGCGCAGGCCAGGTACCCTTGCGCCTACCACGTGCGCACTGGCGACCGAGAGGCTGGGGGCCTCGGGTGGGGGCGGGGCCAAGGCCGCGGGGCGGGGCCAGCTGCGCGCGCGGGGCGGGGGCGGGGCGCGCAGCGTGCTCTGGGCAGGCCCCGCGCTCCTCCTCCACCTCCCGCGCCCAGGCCCGGCGGTCCGAGCTCCTCCCCTGGTGCGGCCTCTCTCCCCTCCCCTGCCCTCCTTCTGTCCAACCGTTCCTCCCTCCCTCCTCCCCCTCTTCCTCGGTGAGGCGCTCCTCCAGTGGCCAGGCAGCATGGCGGCGGTGGAGACGCGTGTGTGCGAGACGGACGGTTGCAGCAGCGAGGCCAAGCTCCAGTGCCCCACCTGCATCAAGCTGGGCATCCAGGGCTCCTACTTCTGCTCGCAGGTAGACTCCCGCTTCCCCCGCGGCCCCGCCGCCGCCTCCCTCCCCTCTCCGCTTTGCCCTCGCGGCCGGTCGGGACACGCTCCTCCTCTTCCCCGGGCGGGCTCGCCGGCCGCTCTTCCTCCTCCGCCGAGTCTGCCGCGCCGCCGCCCCCTCTCGCCTCCGGGGGATCTGGGGCCCCTCCGGCCGCCGGCCGCTTGGGACGCCCGCGGGGGTGGGGGCGCGGGCTCGCTGCCTTGTGGGCTGGGGGCGGAAGCGGACTTGCCCCCGGTCTCCCGACCGCCCTAGGGCGCCGCGTTTAGGAGCCAGTTCTCGACGCGCATCTCCCGAGCGGGCGGGGGCCGCCAGGTGTGCGGGCTACGCGGGACAGGTGGGATCGCCGGGGAAGGGGGCAGCCCAAGTCGCCGCAGCTGCAGCTCCCGGCGGGGCTCTGGTCTTGGTCGGTGGGGCTGCGGGGCCGGGTAGTCACTCTGGTCCTGCGGGACTGGGGGTCGGAAGAGACCGCTGGGCTTGGAGAAGGGTTACCTGGGACGGTGGGGGCGCCGAGAGGGGCAGTGCCAGCTCCAGCCCCACCCACCCCTGTCCCTAGGTTTTACTGCCGCACGTTGACACTTAAGCAACTTTGGAGTTGAGGATGCAGAGGGATCTGTGTAATTCATTCTTTTCCTTTGGCACTCAGAATTATTGATTTACAAAACCGTAAGATAACAGTATGAGTCACCTCAGATTAACTGAACTTCCCACTGAGCGAAAAAGACAGTTCCATTAAGGATTATGCTTTAAGGCCGTTATTTTAACAAGTTTTGTGCAGTGGAGCAAAGCCAGCATTGAATGGTGTCCGGACTGAAACGCGTGCTGGTGTTTGTTTACTGAAGAGCCCTAGTGTTCTGGCTGCATTTAGACGCTCAGAGTTTTGGCCTGGCGGCATTTGTACGGCTTTTAATTACAATCCAGTTTTGCTGGAGAGAGGCACGGGAGTATTCAAGTACGAAATTGGTAGTGTCCTGCGGGGAGGAGAGCATTCACAAAGAGTCTAAAGGCACCGACAGGGCCCTGTCCTTGCCATTGACTGTGAGATCTTGAACTGGCCAAGTTTTATCTTTCTGAGCTCCAGTCCCACCACTGTACAGAGGGGAAGATGAAGTTTTTACTCATGTATTTAACAAGGTTGCTCTGAGACCCAAATTATCCAATGAATGTGAAATCTTAATAAAACAAAGGCAGTTTTTTTTAAGGCTGGCAGTAGAGTGTAGCACATATATATGTATATATATATACACACAAATGAATAGAAGGAAAACATACATGAGCAATAAACACAAATAATATAACTTTCAAATATAAAATGTGTAAACATAAAGCTGTATGTGAAATGAAGATGAAAATAAAATTCCAGAGATCCAACACTTGTAAGATAAGCCGTTGTAAAAGATCCTGGCAATGTTGTACAGGTCTTGTTTTCAGATAGGATATGATCCTTGACCTTGTTAGTATCATTTGGAAAAAGTTACACTTGGAGAAGTGTTGCTTTTTCTAAAAATAGCACTGGGACTTCTCAACGTGCTGAACCTGGTCCGAGTCCTTTTGTTTCTTTAAAATAATTTTCAGATTCTGTGATTGGTTGAGGCCTGTGTGGGACCTGGACTTAAAAAGAAAATCCAGTAGTTTGTTTTTGAAAATCATGTACTCTATGAGTAGAACAATGTGGTGGTTTACGTTTTGCTTAAATTTATAGTTGTCGTTTTGTAATGTTAAATGAAATAATATGTACAGACACTTGTTGAGATTCTGAAAAGATGCTGTGAAACTATAGTCATCAAGGATAGATGATACTCTCCTAGGCATGTATTATTTAGTAGAAAGGACATTGGCTCATTGGGGTTTTTGGGAACATGCCAACACATTTGTGAAAACATGGTAGGTATTTTATGTTGGATTCTGCAGGTATATTTCTTGTTCCATTGTTATGTCTGTAGTGGAATATATCCTGACTGATGCTTGAAACTCTCTCTCTTCATTCCTGTTGCTTCCTCCTTTAGTCAGTTTTTTAAATTTCTCACCAGTTTCTCTTAGTTCATTTCTCTACTGTAATTTCCCACCTTGTAAGTAAATACTCACACACACATTCACACACACACACACAAATCAAAGGAGCAAAACCTTTCATGCAAAAGTTATTTTTCCCCTAGCATAGCAGTCTGACCGTGCTTCTCCCCAACCTATAACAAATAGAATTACCATTGCTTGCAGGATTCTAGCCCCATAGTCAGGGCACCTCTTATGAGTCTAGCTTTATTCTCTTGCTTAACCAGAGTCTGTATTTATACTTGTTCCTTTACACAGAATATCACCTGTCTTCTGAAATCACAGATGTTCTTTCAGTCCCAGCTTGAGACCTGGTTCAATCACTAAGCCAATTTCCACATTTATGATGAAACTGGGGCTGCTGCTTCTTTCTCTGATCATCTTCACTAGCAGTGGTCTATCTTTTCTCTTCTCCTTGCTTCTGTGGTCCCCAGGCTGATTGTCTGACCAGCTTGTCTTTGGGAATAAGCTGTGAACAAAACTACAAGAGAACAGAAGTAAGCCTTTTCCAGTTATCCTGTCACACCACCTTATTTCCTCTATAACATTTTATGCAGCCTGATCATTTGATTTTTGTTTATCTTTCATTCTGAAGGTGAGCATCATGAAGAAACTCTCACTGCTCCCTCCTCATTTCTCAACACAATGCTCTGTATGTAATAGGTGGTCAATAAATGCTTGAGTCAAAAGGCAGAATAAAGAGCTGCATTCATGCATGCTCAGTTGTGTCCAATTCTGGGACCTCATAGACTGCACCCCCCCAGGCTCCTCTGTCCATGGAATTTTCCAGGCAAGAATACTGGAGTAGGTTGCCATTTCCTCCTCCGGGGGATCTTCCCAGCCCAGGGATGGAACCCTCATCTCAGGTATCGGCAGGCAGATTCTTTACCGCTGAGCCACCAGGGAAGCCAGAATAAAGAGGTGAACTGCCACAACTGAATCACAGTTCTATTACCGGCTGTCTGCTTTAGGCAGGTCACCTTTGTTTTTTGTTATAACCTTTTATTTTTTGACATGAATTATATTATTTTTGTTTGTGCTGTCTTGGTTGCTGCGCAGCAGCTTTCTGTAGTTACGGCAAGTGGGCATCTCACTGCACTGGCTTCTCTAGCTGCAGAGGTTTGGGCTTAGGGCACCCAGGCGGTGCTGGTTGCAGCCTGCGGGTTCAGTAGTTGCTGCTCGCGGGCTCTCGAGCACAGACTGAGTAGTTGTGCGCTGGGCTGAGCTGCTCTGTGGCTTGTGGAATCTTCTGGACAGTGGATCGAGCCCATTTCTCGAGCATTGGCAGGTGGGTTCTCTTCCACTGTACCACCAGGGAGGTCGTGTTACACCCTTGTAAAATGGGGCTTTGAATAGTACCAACCTCAGGGTTTGTATGTATTAATGAAACACTTAGCATAGCAATACATTTAATCAGTGTTAGCTCTTTTTATCGTTATACTGTATTTATGCTTAAGAAGATAGAAATATTTTTACTTAAGATGCTTAATTTTAAGACAAATTTTGGTCTTTTAATGAGTAAAACCTATTTCATTTGAAATCAAGCTTTACAGGAGTTTATGATGTTTGATGGTATTTCTTTATAGCTGTATCCGTCTTATTCGGTAGTAGTTGACTAGGTTTAATAGTAGCTTAGTAGTTTACTCATAGTCCCAAAGAGTTTGTAAGAGTTTTTTGAGGATGGAGGCTGTGCTGTATTCATTTTTGTATTTCTCGTAAGTACTTTGTACACAGTAAGCACTCAGTGCTTTAAATGAAAGAAAAAAGGTCATTAGGCCTGAGAAGGAAAGGCAAAGAGTAGTCAAGCTACTAGTGAACACCCCAGGGCAGATACTATCTTGACTGTAGTTAAAAATCTGCAGAGAAGGACCTGAGTGATTTGCAGCCCTTCATAAGGCCTTAGAACTTAAAGGGAAGAGGGGTGGGTTTGGAGTCTTACCTGGGTTTTTTGCGACCATGTCCTTGAGTAGGTTGTGTCCTGTTTTATAAGGGAGGGCTAATGATGCCCTCCTTATAGTTGAGGTGAAGGTGAATAAGAGCGTGCAAAGTGACTCAACACTGTTCAGTAAATAGTGTTGTTGCACCTGCCTTATGTCTACTACCATTGTAGCTAGCCATAAGGAAGGTTTACAGTGTTTGAGGAGGAGCCTTATTTGTTACGAACATTTTGAACAAATTCTTGGAATTGGTTCTTTAAAAGAAGTAGTAGCCATGTAAAGTGATTGCCTGGGTCTTCAGTAAGAAAATGAGTGGGTGGGCACCTCAGATATTGGAGTTGAAAAGTGAGGAAAGAATTGCACTTCCAATATGTAGGTCTTTGAAATGTAACCCTGTCCTCTAAGACACTTTCTCCTTTGATAACAAGGTTCCTGACTTTTCTAGGGATTTTCTTAAAATTCTTTACATTACCTCACCCTGTTTCTAGATATTGCAGTAAGATAGCAATATCTAGTTGTGATTTTCTTTTCTTAAATATAAAAATAACTTTTATTGTAGAAAAATTAGAAAATACAGGTGAAGGGTTGCTTGGTGATAATTTCTGTAAGTCTTTTGATGGGTAGTCTTACAAATATTTATGTATTCCTACATACACTTATGTGCATATACTTTTATCAGAATGGCTTAATCATATATATAATCTTAGGGAATTTGCTCTCTTTTATGTCTTAAGTAATACATTTGGAATGTGTGTAATGGCTCCATTTACATTATCATTTGTAATGGCTGAATAATATTTTATGTGATACGTGTACTGTTCTGTATTCATTTATGGTTGAATTTACTTTCTTTTAAATTTTTTAGCTGCTGTTTAACTGCTTTTCAATAAACGTTCTTGTGAAATTTTAAATCATTTTGATTACTTGAGACTATAGAGTAATGGTGGGGCTGGTATATAAACCAAGGATTGAGCTCACCTT